TTTATGATTTTTTATGATCTATAATATAAGACTTAAAGAAAAAATTTGTTTTAATGTTTTTTTTATCATCTTCCTAATTTAAGAAACTTTTATTCGCTTGATAATAATAAAAAGTAAAGTGTCTCGCAAGCCTTATATAATCGTGTACATACATAAATTGGAAATTGTAATTATTTTAAAACGTGATATTAATTCTTAAGTGTTAATGTGTTAATGAAATTGAAATGTTAGAAAAATACTTAATCATACGTCAATATTTTCGATTAATAATTAATTTCATTTTCTATAAAAATTACAATTCTCAATTTATAATAAAATTTATAAAGGATTTATAAGACACTAATTCTTATTTGATTATTATTAAACAATAAAAATTTCCTAAAAATTAAACAAATAATGAAAAAACATTTTAAAAATTTCTCAAATCTTTTATTATATTTTATTGTAGGCCATGAAAAATCATGACTTTCGTGTTAATTGAAAAATCAACTGAATATTTTTTCAATATTCATTAAGATCTTTAAAAAATTAATACAAATATAGGAAGACAGATTTTCTTTGAAGAAGTATTTTCACTCTTAGAATTTATCAGTCTAAACAGGAAATTGTTATGTAATTGTAAAGACATATTCATTTTATTTCTACAAAGTTTTAGATTTTTAGGAATTCGCGACTTTCCAATTTTTTTTGTAAGCTTAAGAGAAAGAATTATAAAGTTCAAAAATATTTAAGTAATTAAAAAATTTCTTATTTTAATTCTTAAATATCAATCTTACTTTAGATCCATCTTAAAGTAAAAAATCTATGAAAACTATTATATTTAACTATGAATACAATCCTAGAACCTTCAACTATTATATTTAACTACGATACGATATATAACATAACATTCTTAATTTAAATGTTTAATTTTTTAGGCATTATAATAATACATACAAGTAGTTGACAAGAATAAATAATATATTTTAGTGTTACATTTATTCTGTTATCATTGCAAATTAAAATTTTTTTAATTTTTATATAATAACTATTAAGAAACGACATTCAATTCTCAGCGCTTCTTTTATTTTGTTTTTTACAGTATATTTCGATATGTGCGTGTTCAATATATATTTTTTATATATGTGCATCCTTTGATTCTCCAAAAATGTTTTTTTCTATATACGCACAATAAAAAATAAAATTCTATTTTATTTCCGACACGAATGCAGAATGTTTTAGAATACCTGTCCTATTATTTTTCTCAACTCCATGAAATTATAATAGCACCTGCACGGATAATTGGATAATTAATTACATATGTAAAAAATGGAATTAATTGAAATGATATTCAATAGTGATTATTTTCTACATTTAGAAAATAATCTCGTGCATTTCCTAATTAAACATTTATTTAAAAGACAAAAATGAAATGCAAGCAATGATTATTTTGTAAAATAAAAGTCTTTTAATCTTTGACACTAATTTTATTTGAATATCTGTATATAGATTAATAGCATATCAATTCTATTGCTATGTATTTTATACTAATAAATATTAAATTATTATTATCCTGATTCTGAGGTAAGAGATTTTATACGAGTGATCTAAATTGTGATATAAACATATTCCATTTTAACTTCCCCAAAATCAAATATCTTGAAAAGTAGACAAGATACAAAGAAATGTTTTAGAAAAAAGTTGTAGGATATAAAGGAGGACAAATAATGATAAAATTAATTTCACAAAAAAAATCGATTCTTCAAGGTCACATGGAGATCACTCCAGTTTTTTAAATGGAATGATATAATTTATTTTTAAATAATATAATTTCTCTAATTATTGTGCATATAAAAGTATGGTAAAGTTATCAAAGAATTAATATTTGACAAAATATTTCATATTTTATCATGCATATTTTGACATAAAATATGAAATATCTTGTAAATTATTGATTTCTTGGTAATTGTAGCTCAACACTTTTATGCACAAAATGATAAGATGATTCAATTGTAAAGAAAACAGTTGCTTTTCAAAAAAATATGTAAAAATTGCATATTTTTTGGCATGTAACATGGCATGATAAAGTATTAAATATCTCACAAAGATTTAACTTTACCTTAATGTGCAAAATAATTTTATAATTTAATATGCATGAAATAATTAAAATCATATTTAAAAAAATACTATTTCATTTAAAAAAGTGAAGAAACCTTCATGTGAAATCCTTGTAAAGTCCTTGAGAAATCAATTTTTTTGTGAAATTGATTTTTATCCTATTTTTGTTTAAACCATTTTTCTTGCGTATTTTTCAAGATATTTACGTGGGAAACTTAAAATGAAACACTCTGTATATTTCCAAGAAAAAAAAAGAGATTTATATTATTTTTCCTTCCTAGAAATATGTAAATTGTGGCCGGAAATTGAGGAAAAAATGTTCATTACTAAAGTCTGTTTGAATTATCTATTGGCATTTCAGTTTTCCGGAAACTACCGGAAGTAGGATAAACCTGAAAGGTCAAGTCTGAAATTTTAAATAGGAACATACATATAGAGATCGAGTAGGATATCGTTGAATAAGTCTTTTAAAGACAAACAATTTTTGCTTAAACTCTTTTTGATATCAGGTTGATTCCGATTGGGAAAAATTCACAGATTACGAATCATCCATTACATATCAGGGGTTATCGGCAAAAAAATTTACGATCAAACCCTATGTGATGAATCGGATAATGATATTTATGCTTTTTTTTCTTTACAGTGTTTAAGATGCTTGTAGCATCAAATTGACGATCAATCTAATTTGTGGTAATGTTTCAGCTGTATGATTGCCTTCTTAGAGACCGACAGTAATCAGCGCGCAGTTTATGATATGAATTTTAAAGATTTAAAAATTAAGAGTATTAATGGACAATCAACATCTAGTTTCCACCGAATTTAACTCTTTCCCCCTTAATATATTTGTGCTTTTTATTAGAATAGCTAAAAGTGGGGAATTATAGTAAACTGTTAAATTTTTTAACACGTAGATAAAGGTGACTCGGCCAAAGAACGAGTGAGGGTAGAATGTGACATCAAATCACCAAAAAATTATTGTTAATAAATTTTAATGTCACGGAATAAAATAAGACTACACAGTCTTCTTCAATTATAAATAATTAAAAATAGTTAATATTACACACATAATTAAAAATTAAAAAATTAACAATTTAAATAAATAAGAAAAAGAAACACGATTCTGTCGTAAAATTAAAATAAAATATAATTAGAGTGAACGATCTAAAACAATGGACACAATACGCAGGAATATATCGCACAATTATATCTGCGATAAATAATTCGTATACTTTTGATGCACGCTTTAAATAAGTTATGTAAAATGACATTTCTAAATATATGCAATTAATCGATAATATTAGGTGTTGTCTGCCACCCTTAACATCCACGTTAGACATTTTACGTCCATTCTTTTTGTGTATCTTTCTCGCAAACCAATGTGGTCAGAAAAGGGCTTGCATTTTTGTCTCTCAAATAAATGTAATTAATTAAAAAATGCATATGATTATTTTCTAAATGTAGAAAATAATTACAATCGCTGTAAAGTATCATTTTAATTAATTCCACTTTTTATCAATCAACGGAATATCCATCATGCAATGTTTAATGCATGGTATGTATTATTTGTACTATATGATTTCACGGAGTTGACCTGATCAAACTGTCCACGCGCGTTCGCGTGGCATTACCGACGCGAGGTACGTATATCGTGTCTTACGGTGCTATGATTACACGAAGTTTACTCGATGGAACTGTCGCACTATCGATGCGATAGACTGTATTCACAACCGTAACACTAACGTTTTCACGCTCGTATGGCATATGTTTATTATATTATACATATATGCGTTTTCTCAAAGTGACGCATTCAAATATGTCCCATATTAAGCGCAATCAATGGACGATCAATACTGATCAATACTAATCCTCGATATTGCAGGAGTAAATCAAATTGCGTCTTGACGTGACAATTAAAAACTTCACGGAGTAATAGATTATAAATAAATAAAAATATCTACCTGTGGTTGTTGTTGTTGTTTCATCGATGACCGATGCCAGCTTCCAAGCCTCCACCGATGACCAATATCATGCCTTTCCTAGCCTCCTCCTCTAATTATCTCTTTCTGTTATTTGCGTTGTCTTTCTCCCTCTCTCTTTCTCATGGTTCGCATACAATTAAGGCACTCATTCTATGTCTGTTTGTAAAATTAATTGCACTATGATCATTAAAACGATCGCGGCACTTTGTACGGTACTCGCCGACTCGCGAAGCAATTTTACCATATATAAAATTAGAAGATATAGGAAGAACAATGCGGAAAAATATTACGTTCACGTGAAGTCACGATCGTCTCGACGTCAAAAAGTTAAGTTAACGAAAAATCCGCCTCTCATCGCGGAGGAAATTCGTATGTAAATAGCACGGTCAACTGCAAGCAGCATTAGCAGCCAGAGCAACTGCGATAGCAGAGACGCTGCACCTGTTGCTCCCATCTGTACTTCTCTACGCTTCCCGCGATTTTATCAACAGACAGTACAGTATCATGTTTTACAGTATAATCATTATCTTTATACCATTATTACAGTATAATTAAATTCTAATTAGAAATTAAGTAATTGCGAAACGTAACGTCCGTAGTTCTACTGATTCGATCTATGATCGGTATTGCCGATTTTTCGCATGGATTTTAGCTAAACATATTTTGTAAAATAGGCGTTTTAATAAAATCACTATTACGAACGTCAAATTTTTATATATAATTTATGTAATTGTCAAATATTAAATTACGTCAAATACGTTTGCGGTTTTATTAATCAAATAAATGCGTTGCGATCTTACTCGGTGATGTAATCGCGTTATTTAATGAATTAAAAAAATTGAATATAATAGCAGCATCTTTACTTCGCTGCCGCGCCATTCAAATCACGTGTAATTTCACTATATATATAAGTTAATATAAGTGTCAAGATCATAGCAAAATTCACTTTTATTCAATGCTTTTTATATTTCAATGATGTATTGCTTCATAATCACTAATACAACAAGGAGTTATCACATTTATGAGAATAAATAATAATATCTATAACAGGTAATTAAATACATCTAAAAACGTGCTCTAAAATTTTTCTTTATCAACTCTAAATATTCCAAAATGCCAATGCTGAACTTAGAAGTTCGACGTGAAAATATCTTATTCGATTATAAAATTCAGTAAAATTTAACAATTTGTTATTATCTAATTATTCTTTTTGTTTTAAAATTATATATTGCAATACACATAATAATGTACCCTATGACAATCGCCTTTTCATTGTTTTTAATACTGTAACGTATGTATTCCTTCTCATGTTTTATATCAATAATGTAAAAAGGCACTTTCGTCAAATTACTTTGCATTAACGATTTTGCAAAAGATAACTTTACAAAATATTCCGCAGTATCTCGCTCATTGCGAATTTTTTATCGTCAAACAACAAGAAACATAGTATCACTCGCAACCTCGTAATAGCCGGCTCGAAATTCGGATCGAGATCAAGTGAAGATCTGTAGAAACTTGCAGCAGTCTCGAAGTCACCCTGTAAAAGAAAAAAAATGCGTCAGTCAAATCCCTGCTTCGCCATATACGACCTGTGTGCAGCGAAGTGATATTTAACTCACCAAAGCGGCATGAAGATTAGCGACAACGTAATGATTAATTATGAAATCCGGACCAATTGAGAGCGCTATCTGAGCAATTTCGAGGGCCTCGTGGAAATAATTCTGCGAGCTAAGTAAAGACGCCAGGTTCACGAGAAGTATGTCCTGCTTATCCTTCGGAGTGTTCTCTAGGCTTTGCCACATACAATCCAGCGCCTTACGACTGTCGCCTGCCACGCGCCAGTAAAACGATGCGGCTATCGCCAGGGTCCAAGAAGCGTAATGCTAATACAAGACAGCACACATGTGTACATTAATTACGATGTTATACCCGTAAAACACCGAAGTATATGTAATTATAGGATCTGACGAGTCACCTTTTGCAAAGCAAACGCGATTTTGGTCCCGAGTCCTTGCAGAGTGTCGTTCTGCATTCCGGTCATCATCATCAGCCACTCGGCCATATCGAGCTCGGCTTTGTATTGCAGCAACTGCGAGAATTGCACCACCTCGGTAACGCGACTCATTTCGGAATTACCCTTATTACATATTGGCTGCAAATTCGGAATATCATCGTCCAACGATTCGATCTCATCTTCGATGCTGAAATCGACCAATATTAATTTACAAATAATTTGTGCGATAATTTACACATAAAGTATGTTTTTCGTAGTTCATTGATTACATACGTGACATTTCGTCGTATAAATTTATGAAATACGAATAGAGAAGCAGCCCAGTCTTCATACTTGAGATCATCGCATTCATCCTTACTTGGATAATATGACTCTTTTTGATTCTCGGGCATCTTATCAAAATCGGTGTACGCACGTAGCATGTCCTTCGATATAAAAATTATTTATGTGTAAAACCATTTCAGAGATTTGTGAATTAAAATATGTGAAATAATATTAAAGTATTATTTTATATCTTTACGATCTGTGATTTCATTGCGCGAGATTGCTTACGTTATCTGAAATTCTGGTCATATGCACATGTGGGTCATGTAGTTTAGTTGCACTATTGGGAAGTAATAATGAATGTATAAGACCTTGACGCACATGTTCTTTCTTACTGTAGTACGACACGTCCAATAATCCGATTTTGTGATTACTCCAACAATTCATTCCTACAACAGTTTTTTACTGCTATCAACTAGGGGTAATAGAAAATGTATGTTTCTACTTTGAAAGACAACATTACGAGAGAAAGCATTAAATTAAAAAAATGTGCAGTACACCATGTATATTAACTAAAACCAAATTACATAACATCAAAAGCAGGTAAAATAATTAAACAGGCATAAAAGTATAAGTAACAATAATCTTTATTATGTACTATTACACAAGGAAAAAAAAACAAACAACAATATTATGACAACATAAGATAGGCATAATTGTCAGCTAAAATTATTGTTTTGTTTATTTCAAGCAAAAATAAATTCAAAATTATCAAATAAAAAGTACATAAAGCACAGTCTAAAAAAAAAAAAACAGAATCTACTTTTAATATGTATGTGCGAAAATACGCACCTGTCTCTTCTGTCTTTGTTGAAACATACTTGATATGTTTACAATTCTTGATTTGTCGTTTTCGCAAAATCGTATCACTTGCTCGCAAATTATACTTAGTAAGTAATACAGAAGGCAGGTTCGTAGAGTGTTTGTGTAAATTAATTCTTTGTTCTTCACAGCCTGTGATTATGACAATGTTTGTCGTTACTCATCACAATAATCCCTGCGTTTTTTTAGGACACAGTACCATCAACAGTGAACAAAATTAATCAACTGAAAAAAATAATAAATTCTGTGCGAATTAAATTAAAAATAATAAAACATAATAATCATAAAAAAAGAAAATGTTAAAAAAATGAAAGAAAAACAAAGTTAAAGAAATAAGAAAATATAATAGTCCATATTCTTTCTCTTCCCCCCTTTCCGGTTAGTTTAACCTATTGTCTCAAACTTTATAATTCTCCATTTACAATACAAACAAGTTATATACTCTTTTAAAATAAAAGATTTTTATGTTTCCTAAGATAAAAATTTGTGCAAATATAGACAATACAAATAAAATAAAAAATAACGTAAAAACATAATACAAAAGATTATAACATTTAAAAAATGTGTCTGATCTATTCTATAAAATGATAATTACATACACACACATATCTACACATATCTACATACCTGGACAATTACCCGTAATAACATTAAATTTTTCGCGACAGGCTAATGTTTTCAATAACATTAATGCCCTACCATCATGTAAATGTGAATCCACCCTTAACGCTTGTTTCAAATAATGTATAGCTCCTGTGTAATTTCCTTTTATATTCAATAATATACCAAACAAAAAATTAGTCATCGGCTGAAATATAAATTATTGCAAAGTATATAATTTTTTTTATTCAGACAATACGTAGATGAAAAATATGTCTTTTTGAGCATCGTAGAAATATTATTGAAAAAATCTTAAATAAAACTTAAAAAAAAAAATCTACATAAAAAGCTCTTTTTATAACACAAAATTTAATTATATTCTTCATGCATACCTCCACAGCATTAATTTGTAAAGCTTTGTCCGTAATTCTTAAAGCATCGTCGATTAAACCTACTTTATGGTGTATCGAAGCTATACTAACTAAAGGTACGTCCTTAAATTCTTTAGGAACATTTTCCAATGCTAATTGAAGGCAATCCAAGGCTAAACGAGGTTTTCCTACTATTCTCCAATGTAAAGATGCAAGCATAGACAATACCCATGGAGCTGCTACTTTCTGTTTCAAAATAATATTTTTTTTATCAGAGAACATTACATTTAACGTGCGTGATGATTTCAAAATAATAATAAACTAATACCGCTTCAGTTGCCGTCAAAATTCTCTGACCAATTTCCGCCAAGTCCGCGGTGTGAACCAAATTGTGTAGAAATGATTTCAGAGAAATGTCCGGCGAATGCTGTTGCACCGTTGCATCCAGCAACATATGCGTAATATATCTTTCATTAAACAATTTAGGTGATTGGCATAACGGCGGATGCCACGGCAACGGATGCCTCTTCCATGGTTCTATGTCAATCAATTCATTCACGAATAAATGTGTTCTAATAACATATACAGAAAAATACATGTTAGAATTAATGCGTTATGATAAAATATATAGTACGGAGAAAAAGTTTTTTTGAAATACTTACGCGTAGCCTTTGTTCTCAGGTGATAAATAAATAGGTAAATATTGCTTTCCATCTCCAAACATTAGCATAGAACTATCACAGTCGGATATCTTTGGCCAATCGTCAGCTTCGAAATCTTCATTTCCTTTCTTGATTTCCACATTATGATATTTTGGACTCTTCGTTGGCGATGCAAATAAATTATTGTACTCCACATTTAATTCCATGATTACGTCTGTAATAATATTAAATAATATTTAAAAAATATTAGAGATTTTGCCAATTGCAACGTAGATTATACAATTTATACACCCTACATCTCCGTCTTGCAAAAATGATAAAAGTACCTTTTGAAATGCGATTACTACGCTCCTTCACTTGTTTCTGCAGATTTTTCAACAGGTGGAGACTAACGTGAACATTCTGCAACATGTTCTCAGCTATTTTCTTCCTGTCTCCTAAATCCATGTAAGACAACACAATGTTGTTATCGATATGATGAATCGACCTTTCAACCGGATTTATCGCGAGCAAATGCAGATTCTGTTCTCGCGCGAAAGCGAGCTTAATCTCTCTGGTAGCAGATTTAATATTTTGCTCCCAGAGCATATGCTCGTAGAGCTTGAACCACTCCTCCTTCCAGTCGTGATACGCATGTATCTCCGTCAACACGTTCCGCAGGCGCCTGTAAATAATCACAATCGCATTAATCACATATTTCGACACAATTTTTAAACCGGGGAGGGAATAACGACATCAACTTACTGATCAAACAATAGCAAAGACGTTTCCAAGAAACGATGGCACAGTATGGCGTACTTCATCTGTTTGGCCTCTATCGTGTCGGGCGCCAGCCTCAGGCAGTTATCGTAGCACGCCGCAGACCGATCGAAGTCGCCGAGGGACGTGTAAACGTGGCCCAGCGCCAGATGGTGATGGCTCTCTGTTGGATTGTGATCTATCGCCGCGTGCAAAATAATCGCGGCCTCGCCGGAATATCTCGCAGCGTGTAAAATGCCGGCGGTAGTCAGGAGAGGGATATCACGATATTGCCTTAATCACATGTATACAATGCCCTCGTTACGAAAAGTCAGTAAAATTACACGGTATACACGGCGGATCCTCTCCATCGCGATACTTTTCTCTAGTATCTCCTAAACGAGAGAGTTTCTTATCATATTACCTTGGAGCGCGCACGATCGCTCTACGGCTGCACTCTAAAGCATTGTAAGCGTTTCCCCTGATTCGCCAATAAATCGACGCTAGATTCAGGTATACCCAGGAGGTGCTGTTGCGAGACAAGCTATAAGCGAGTTGATGACCGAACTGATTGAGATCGGTGTTCCACGGTAGGTATCTCATTAAGCCGAGTTCCTCGTGCTGTGTAAGATTCTTTCGGTTCTGCATCGCCTAGCACAATGAAAAATGGCATTACAGACATGTAATCGTGAGGCTTCTGTGTGTAAAGAGCAACATGCTACCTACTTTAAGATGTTCAAACGTATATATGCTGAAATCTAATGGAAACGTTCCCCGACAATCTGGAACTGTTTGTTTACTGCTGGCCACCACATTATATAACAGATAATCAGTTTGGCTGTAACAGAGAGCGTTACATTATCCTTCAACGTTCGACAAATATTTCCTTGAAATCGAATCAATTGCAACAACTCACTCTATCCCATCTTTAAGCCTGTAATCGATTACTATACTGGCGTGCACGTCGACGTCGGTCAACGACTTGTCCCACGAGAAACAGTCCGAGTTCGAGTTTTCCGCATCGGCCATGCCTAGACCGACAAACTGATTGTCAATGGACACTTCCTTCCTCGAGATCTTTTTGTATATGGCATCGGCCGTCTCCCTGCGTTTTTCCTGCTCCAGAAACCCCAAGAGGTCGTACGGTCGACGCATATCGAAGACGCTGTCGTGCTGAAAACATGAGGAACGCAGTTTCAATGCCGAGCAATCGTACATTCATTACAAAATTGTCAAGGTCATTCAAGAGATAAGAGACGTGCAATGTTTACACGTTTACACGTGACGATTCACGTTGAAAAGATCCGAGTATCAGGTATCTGGCGTTTCCATTGAATTGCGTACAGAAAAAAGGTACTAACCTGCGGCTGAATTCTCCCATTTTCCGTGACGTACCAATGCTTGGTGGCCGAGATTTCGAGTATCACCGCGAGCACCGTGACGAATCTGCAGGACACGTCGCTCCGGATCATTTTCCGCGACATAACCTCATACGACGGGTCTCACCGATTCCGCGAGAGTCAGCGAGAGAAACTCGACAGCGCGGACCATGGCTGCGAGAACGCGCGCGTTTTTCTCGTGCGAGATATGCGCCGCGCACAGATATCCCGAGGAACGCGCGAAGGCGATTATATTGCGTCGCGTATTTCCTGCCGGAATGATTCAGAGAACGATTCGAAACACGATTACACGGTGTCAGCTGTGCCAGTGGCTGTCAACGATAGCGGCTGACAGCGGCGGTCAATGTCAAGTCGCCAGCCTGCACTGATGATAAGACCGTCATAATTATATAATAAAATCATTGGGTTTTATAGTTTTTAGATATCAAAATATATATATTTATATGTGTGGTCAAATTATGGGTTATCACAAGGAATAAAAGACTTGTCATAATCAAAATATACGATCAATGATCCTGAAAATACTGTTGCCGAAGGTGTGGAAAAAAATTATAAATTATAAATAATTATAAATTATAAATTATTTTCTCTCTGTTCGAGTTTCTGCTAAGTGGAGTTTGAGTCTCCACTCTCCACTAAATGTAATAAATTAATAATTCGAGTCTCCACTAAGTGAGGTTCGAATCTTCGCTAAGTGGGGTTTGAGTCTCCGCTAAATTCATATTTCAGAGGAGTGCAGGCACAAACCCCACTTAGCGGAGACTCGAACCAACTCGAATCCAACTTAGCAGAGACTCCAACCACATTTTAGTGGAGATTCATTGAATTTATTCTCCCGCTGCATTAATAATGAGGTTAATGCATTAGCCTCACTATTTACATTTTCTGCTTTTTCTGCATTATCCGCATTGTTTACATAAGAAAGAAATCATAGATTATAGGAGTAATCATATATATTATATAGAAAAGGAATAAATTTTAAATTAAATTTTAAATTAGTTAAATTCGCAGAATCGGTGAGACCTGTCGAAATGAGGTTATATCGCGGAAAATGATCCGGAGCGACGTGTCCTGCAGATTCGTCACGGTGCTCGCGATGATACTCGAAATCTCGGCCAAACATTGATACGTCACGAAAACTGGGAGAATTCAGCCGCAGGTTAGTATCCGTACCTTTTTCTATATGCAATAATAGAAACGTCAGATACCTGATACTCGGATCTTTTCAACGTGAACTGTCACGTGTAAACGTAAACATTGCACGTCTCTTAAATTAATTTTTTCCCATTGTTAAAAAAAGATAATAAAGAACTTTAATTTCCTACAGAAAATTTATTTATAAATTCATTAACAATAATATTTAAAGATTGCAATAACTTTGCGAAATTTATAATTTTAAACTAATTTTTTTTAATGTTTATTTTCTTATTTTAGAATTATATTGCTCATATATATATATTTTTTTACATAACATATTTATAAAGATGTTTATAATATATAAATAATGTACCAATTATTTTCTCGATTAAATGCAAAATGTTTTTATCTTAGTTAATATTGAGAAGTTTTTGAAGTTAGTACGATGGATGTTTAATTTGGTCAAAAAATTTATATCAATTTTCATATCTTGAATATCCCGTTTAAATCCTTTGCAATTGACGTTGTTTTCGGATGTCCTTAAATTGTACAAAAGACACGATCGACTTGCACTCTTGCACAGCGATTGGAGCAATTTTATTATAATTACATTTCTCTTCACTTTTTACTCGAAATAAAAAATAAATTAGATTGGATCAGTGAGGTGAACAAATAAGCAAGCTGAACCAAATTGAAAATATATATAATTATTTGATAAATTTATTTCCGATTTCCTCGGTGTAAATTAAAAAAATATCTTCACACAGATCTTAAGATCTCAAATTATAATTAAATGCAAACGAATTTTTCTTTATACAACAACGTAGATAAAAACAGTGTTTCTTACAAAAATATCAGAACGTTAACTTTTTACGACGTACTTTTTCTTGATCGTATTAACTCGCTTATCGCAGTCACGCGAGGCTCGCAAGTGTACACTGCATATGCATTGCAACTGTCGCAAAATATGATAATTTCAATCTTATCTTTTAAACGGTATGACAAACGTGCGTATTGTTTAGTACGTCGCAGTATAAAAACGACGATCGTTCGGCAAGATCTACGCGTTTGCGCTAATTTTTTTTTCTTCCGTACAAATCTCGCGACATATTTCACGCGTAATCGCGAACGTCTCTCGGCGGCGAACTTGAATCGGCGCTTTTTTCCCTGGCGCGGCCTTGGTTCGAGGTACACCGAGGTGATCCGCGCCTGCGTGCAGCCGCGGCCCGCGGCTCTCTCGGCGCCGACTGTTCCGCCAATTGCGGAATGTTATGAAAGTCCTCGAGACTCCGCGGCACCGTGCCTCACCGTCGTCCTCGTGCAGCGCGCGTCAACGAAACGCGAGTCGGGATAATTGCGGGTAGTCGGGGCCGAGATCGTGAACGTACGGCGCGCAGTGCAAGTCCCTTCCACAGCTGACGGGGTGATACATATATATAGAACCACCCCTTCGTTTCGCAGCCATGAGTCTGGTGCGGCAGAATTTTCACGAGGAGTGCGAGGACGCGCTCAACAAACAAATCAATTTGGAGTTATACGCCAGTTATGTCTATCTGTCCATGGTCAGTCGGTGGTATCGATCAGAATACCGCAGCTTTTTCCCTGCAGTCACCCCTTCCGCGTCGTGGCCCTCGATCGAAACGCTCCGCGCGTGTAACACCTGAGCGCTTTCCCTCGCCAGTAATGCGATCCGTTGCAACCCGATAGAGCTGTTTCTCGCTTCTGTATATTGTGCATGTGCGCCTCTCTCGATGTCACCACCTGAACTTTTTCATGTCAATGGATGTTATGTAAAATTACGTTCGTGAAATCAGAGACGACGCGAGGGGAGATATATTATATACTTACCCTCGTTCCGCTCTCATCTAATGCATTAGCCATTGTGGCGTTGTATATTAAACGTTCCATTAGCCTCTCGCTAACTTTATCTCCCTTTCTAATCTGATACTTGTGCGTGTCGACAACTCTAATACGTATAGTAATAAATTCTTGGCACAACCAATAATTTCCCGCTGTCTACTTAAAGTGCGTGCGACGAGAGTCGTTACGGCAAAGTTCTCCACCGTTGAATAAGTGCGCTTCTTAAACAGAAACAGGACACGACATTAAAATCGACGATCAAAATGAATCGTGACTGATCGAAAAGTGACTTTTAATAATTATTTTGAAGTCATTTTGATATTATGACAATTTTGTGTTCCGCGTTTAGATTATACATGCATATACGGACCTCTCGCGGTTCCGAAGTAAATCGACGAATATTAATCATAAAACCCGGATCCACAATAGAGAATAATATAGTTTAGCCTTTTGCTCAAGGCTCTAACAATAAACCGTGAAGTTTTATTTCCGGCAAAAAACATTTTCGGCGCTGCCTTGAATCATAATTATTAACAAGCTTTAAGCAAACTGGCCAAGTCGCAAAACTAGACGGTCAAATTTAGAGCAATTATTATTAGAGGTATAAAAGACTCTAAATGAAGCTTACTATATATATTAACATCTATCGGTGAAGATCAGATCTAAAGGGTTTTAAGCACGACGTTCCTCTCGCTTCCCCTCGTCGAAATTTATCCCGATGCCCCAACATCCCGCGTTGCATCCTTCCGCATATACATATACGTTTCGTTGCAGGCATACTACTTTGATAGAAGCGACGTCGCGTTACCGGGTCTGTATAAGTACTTCAAGAAGGCGTCGGACGAGGAGCGCGAGCATGCCATGAAATTTCTGACTTATCAGAACAAGCGAGGCGGCGATGTCGTGTTGATGGACATCCAGGCGCCGTCCAGGAGGAACTGGAACAGCGCGAAGGACGCTATGACGGAGGCTCTGCAGCTGGAGAAGAAAGTAAATCAGGTGTGTGTGTGTGTATGTGTGTGGGTATGTGTGTGTGTGTATATTACGTATGTGTGTACGTTGTGCGAGCGCACGCGCGCGTAATCGATTTCGTCGAGAATAACGTGGCAATGTACAAAAGGGATATGTAAACTTGCTTGGACGATGTTGAATCTCTAATTAAACGAGAGCTCTCTTCCTCCTTTCCATGGCACCCCCTCCTACATATATTTAAGTTTGGTCAACTCATTTAAATCGAAAAGGCGGCTATCATTTTAATTTTAGAAATTTCCGTGTCGATGTCTTTTATAAGCGATCTGACAAAGTTTATGGTTAATGTCTAACCTCACTCTAACCCAGTGAAAAACAATCGCCAATTCGATGTCGAATCGATATCGATACGATTTCGACATCAATTCGACATCGATTCGACATTGATTCGACATCGAATTGAAAACCATTTCTCACTGGGAATGTTGTTGAAGACTGTTAAATTATTAATAAATATTAATAATCGTCATAAATTTTATAAAAAATTATACATATTCATATGTATAATACTGAGTCAGACACATCAATGACTAACAATAAAGAATAAAGCCCATCTTGCTGCGTTTCGCTAATCAAGCCACAGTTTCTCGAGTTGTTTGTTAATTTAATTATTATAGGTAGTATAATTCTTTTGCTAACCACGTGTGTACGTGGAAGTACTACGATTTAAAGTTACAGTTTAGCAATTGGGGGTGTAACTCAGTGGTAGAGTGTCCGCTTCGCATGCGGAAAGTCCTGGGTTCAAATCCCAGCTCCTCCAGCCAACTTTTTTTTTTACTCTCACCTCACGATCATGCGATTGGTACTGCATCAATTTAACGCAAAATCATAAATAGAGTTGGTTATTTATTTAAATAATTTTTTATTTAACTTAATATTTAGATAAAATATTGTTCATTATTGGCATTATTTATATTATTCGTTATTTGTATTATTTGTTATTCGTATTATTTTCTATTCTTATTATTCATTATCACATTATTTTTTTCGTATTGTTTAGATAAATTTAATTGAAGAAAAACTTTATTAACAAACTAAATACGTTGCAAAACATAGTGATATTATTTGAATTGATTGTTCAAATAAAATGTTATTTGAATGTAACATTTATATTCGTATTTGAATATAATATTTATACGTATTATGTGAATGAATTTTATTCAAATATGTTATTTTTCCTTGACAAATACATTTCAATTTGAATAAAATGTTATTGTTTGTGATATACGAATATAAAAGTTTCAAATATAATTTCCTTTAAGATAGATGAATAAACTTATTTAAATATAAGAAATTATTTTTTATTCATAAGTTTAAAGCTTTATTTCTTATTTATAAATTTGCGCTACTTTATTAATTTATTCGCGCCCAACTAAATTTATTCGCGATTAATCGTTCTCTTGGTTTTTGCAGAAGCTGCTAGAGTTGCACGGAATCGCTTCGACGCACAACGACGCGAATTTCATGGATTTCTTGGAGACTGAGTTCCTACAGGAGCAGGTGGACGCGATCAAGGAAATCGCCGATCACGTGACAAATCTAGAGAGAGTCGGGGAAGGCCTTGGTGTCTTTATTTATGACAAGGAGATGAAAGATTGAAATGTCACGTCTGAGAGATTTGCCAAAAAAAAAGAAAAATAAAATTAAGAACATAGGGGGCTTTAGATAAATATTGTTCAAATTATATTGAAATCGCGGTGTTGATTCATATGATAATTAAGGTAAAGATAATAAAGATTCGTGTTGAGAAAAGGTGTTGGACGAAGATAGATAGGAGAAAATGAATGTTTTAGGCGTTGTTCATATCTGTAACTCGATCGGAGGAGGACATATAGCTATAGTGTGATTTTATGCGGCCGTTCGTCGCGGAAATAATCAATTATCGTGCAATTATCTAGCAGTTAACTTTTTGAGATATATCATATTTCTAGGCTTTAAAAATTATAATCGTACACTGCGATCAATACTATATCGTTTACTGTTTCGTTTTAAATTGAATATTAATAATTATAATCATTGAAGATCTTATTACGATGGCAGATACAGTGGCTGTTAAAAATTTCCGGCCAATAAGTAATTGTATTGAAAATTATTAGATATATTGTATCATGTATATATATAAAAAATTTTAATATCTTTAATTTCAAATGAATAATTAATAAAAATGTTGTTCAATTAGGATCATTGCTCATGTATTTAAAAAAACAATATCATAAAATTATATATATTGGCTGGAAACTTTTGGCAGCCACTGTATATTTATTCATCTAGTCCCTGTTAATAAAATGTTTGTTATGTGTAATATCGATTAATTGTTATATAGGATGTCTTTTTCATCAGTCGCATTGTATTTTTTCGCAACTATTATTTTCTTTCATTATTTTTCAGAAATCAAATGTATTCAGGTGACATGGTCATGTTTTGGTGCTAAAAGAATACGCACGAGAGAAAGATGTAGCAATTTATTTATATGATTATTTTTATTTTTTATAAATATGATAAATTACCCATTTATCACAGATAGAATATAAATTACTGGGATAAAAAGATTTAGAAATATATAGGAGACAAGGAATTACATTTATACTTTCAAGAAACTGTGTATTTATATTTCAAATTTCATATAAAAATTTTAATAAAAAGTAAATGTTTCATGCAAATTGTACAAAATTTTTGTATTTTTATAAAATTGTCGAAATTATTAAATACGTTATAGAGCTTTATATTGGCTCTAATATTGTGAACTGTTTTGTCATAATTATTCAAGGAAAAAGCATCGAGAATTTATTAGATAATTGTATATTTATGATTTGATCTCAATACCATATGACTACTAAAATTATAGTTAAAGCAAACTATATTTCAGTCTAATTATATCATTATTGAATTGAAAGATCAATGTAATATAGTGTACAGATTCGCGAGGCATTTTACATATAATTTCAAAGGCATATTAGCATTTGAAATACAGTACAATCATTTTTAGATAGGATCACTAAAATGTGTGTAAAGGATAATAATATTAATTGTTGCAGCAAAAGAGCGATGAACAATGAAGCTGGTCTGCCAGCATTTAGATTATGAATAAAAAGTAGAATGTGTTAAAATAGCAGCACATATTATGAATGAATTTCTCTTATACTGAGATTACGAAAATAATTAATTTTATCAATAAAGATATAAAAAATCTCTTATTATTGAATAGACAAATTGCCTATTATAACCTAAATAACCTATAATATGTCATTGCAATTATATCATAGAAAAGCATCGAAGATTTGTGAAATTGTATATTTACATTCGATCTTAGGAATTTTTTTCGAGAAACGTGTATTCTTATCCTTTTTTTTTTTTTATTTTTCTTGTTAAAATCTCCTAAACGCAAAAGAGATTCGCAAAGATGCAACCACACTGCGATTGAAAACAATGAGCTTGTCAACCTTATCGACATGGTCACCGCGGTTACATTGTAAGTGCAACCTTCGCCGCCTTCGCGAGGAGTCTCCTACTGTCGCTAGTGTCGTCACTGTCAGAGCTGAGAGCAGTGTCTGTCAGACTGTGTCGACGTCAGTGTGGTGTCGGTTGGCGAGATTTTACGGGTGTACGATTTGACATGCTGTGATAACCCTCGAGATCGGCATTACAAACAAATGTTACGTGGCCCTGCATCGGTGCCTTCGTAATTACACATATACTGTGGTAATTAAGCGCCGAGTCGCGCCGCAAGAATGTATCCGTTGTATGTCATCGTCGGTGCGCTGCTCAGCGTGTCTTCGCTCATCTGCGAAGGGGTAAGCGAATTGTCTAGCCCTCTCCCCTCCTCCCCCACCCCCCGCGGCGTCTCCTGAAAGCGCTAGCGGGCTTTTTTTTTTTACGAGCGAGTGTATGATTAACGCGAGGGTAATCGCGGGTATCTTTCAGAGCGAGCTCGAGTACGACGGCTGGCTGCAGTTGAGGTTATGGCACGCGTTCAACGACGACCCGGTGCCCGTGTTCACGGAACGGGGAAACGTCACCGTGTCCAGCGTGCGCAGCGGCACGTCCGTCGTCGGGCAGAACGGCCTGCTGCCCGCCCAGATAAACGCCCTGAAGAATCTTGCCGAGCACGACGGCAAGTACAGACTGAAGGCGCTGGCTCGCACCTCCTCCGGCAGCGAGATCGTGTTCCTCACCTCGGTGCCAGCGGTAAACGTCTCCGGCGAACAAGCCTTCCGGGGGAATCGTCCCCGCATCTGATACCGACTCAGATTCTTCGACAAGAATTTGAGTAGCAAATTTGGTTCGAGCGCAGCGGTGCGAAACTTGCAAGCACGTTAAAAGTCATTGTACACCAATCGACATGAAGATTGTTTAATATAAATTTAGGAGCAAGGTTAAACCCGCGAAATACTCAATACACGTTATTTTATTGTACTATTAGTAAAATATATATTGGGTAGTTTTCCATTTGGGATATTTCCTCTTTACGTTCCGATTAGATGAGTACGGCGCAATGACTTTAATATACACCAGTGTGTACCAACCGAATTCGCTGTAAATCTACTTGAAAACGCTTGCCTGAGATAATTTAGAATATTTTAATGGAGGAATTACATTCGTGGACGATTCTTCTTGTGAATTTGATTGAACGCACTAGTGTGCATAAGTGCACATTAAAGCTATTGATCATTATATAAAGATGTGTGTTTAATATAAAAATATAAACAGATTAAACAGTGAAGTTCTCAATATTTTGTACTTTATTCTGGTAAAATTTATATTAGGCATTATATTCATATTAGGCATTTTACTTTTATACTCAAATTAGACGTACAGCATACAACGGCTTTAATGTACACTAGTGCACACTGGTATGTTTAATTAAATTCTCTATTAGTTGATTTCATTTGACAGTACATTGTGTTTTATTGCGTTTGAGTGTGCTGACTGCACTGTTTCCAATTTATAGTGCTACCTGCTTGGTTCTGATCTGGAAGACGTCATAACGGTATGGCTGGACAGTACAGCAGAGCCGACAGCTGTGAGCATTTCATCTTCGGGACCGTGTATGCTGGATGATCCCTTCACAAACATGTGGACCACCAGTGTCATGGTGAGATATCCGGATAGCGGTCCAATCCCAGACACCGCTACGTATATTCAGAAGCTCGAACGAGAACGGGAGGCAAGGGAGAGAGGAGAAACTAAAGATAATCGTTCATTCCTTGCGAAATATGTAAGAATATTTTTATAGACGTTTATATATATATATATTTATGTTTGTTTTATTCAACGTATAACTCGTTGATTTTTGTTGCAGTGGATGTATATTGTTCCCTTCTTGATTTTCCTGCTGTTGTCGTCCGCGACGAATCCAGAAGCTGGCGGAAGTGCACAAAGACAATGATCTAATGAAAATTATTTGTGCCCGCGTATGCATCGTATCCCAAAGAGTGGTCTTGTGTAAATTGATCGAAATTTATAGTATAATTTCATAATGTGATAGAAACAACATTAATAATAATTATATTACATAATACATCTAATTACATTCTGCTAAAATAAATATAATTACTAAATTGGATGTATTGTCTGCGTTATTCTAAGTACAACGGAATAAGGATAACGTGGCATACACCTGTGACATCTACAAACAGGTAGAGTCAGTTGTAAAATCAATATTCCATCACCGTGCCAATGGCAAAGTCACAACATTGGCGAGGCGTACCGCGGCGATGTAACGCCAGCTCAGAATGGCAGAGTTCTCTTTAAACATTCAGAAACACATAAAGGCAGGTCTTGTCGTGAGTGGGAAATTCGACGGATCGCACGCGTGTCTCGCGGCCGCTACACCTGGCGGGACCATTTTGGTGCACAGCCCGCACAGGCAGCCGCAGGTCGATTACTCCGATCACAAGCAGTCGAATAAAAGATTGTCATGGAGCGGGGAACTTGCGGAGCTTCAAATTGGCACCGAGGTTCGAATGTGTTGGAATCGAAAGTGTCACAAATTGCCTCGCACATTAAATATAAAATTTCGCACCGTTTTATATTCTTCCTTCGTGCCTTTCTTGTGTACGAAAATTTATATTATCCAGGTGAAGTCATTGTGCACTGGTCGCCTTGGAGAAGACGAAAGAGATATCCTTTTAGTTGGTACTATTTCTCACGTGCTTGCCTATCACGTCGAAGACAATGCTGATGCTTTCTACAAGGAGGTATCAAATATAGTTTCCGAGTCAAATTAGCAGAGAAAATCTAACTTATGATGCTAATATTACTTCAGATGTCGGACGGTGCAAATTGCATGCTTGTTGCGAAAATCGGATGGCTACCAAATCATGTTGTAATAGTAGGCGGCAATTGCTCGGTGACAGTGTTAGATGCGCATGGAACGGAAATATTTTGGACTGTAATGGGAGGTATTGTCACTTCGCTGGCGGTGTTTGATTTTGATGGAGATGGAGAAAATGAAGTGAGTAAAGAGAACGAGATTATTATTCTTAATAATTTTAACGTCCAATTTAATGTCAATCACTCACACATTTATTAATTTTTTTTTTTGGAAATCTGGATTTACTCTTTGAAGCATCAAGGAAAATAAGATTTAAATTTTTGTGCTAACTATTTAAATTTGCGTTTTCAAATTATTTATAATGTTTTTAGTTATTGACGGGTACAACAGATTTTGAAATTAGAGTGCAAAAGAAAGACAACATACTTTGGGAAACAAAGGAAACAGCAGCGATTGTCGTTTTTACTGATCTCCCGAACAGGCAGTTTGCTTACGCTCTTGAAAACGGAACAATTGGTGTCTACGAAGCAGGGCAGAGACTGTGGCGAGTTAAGGTAGAACTCTTACACATAGGGCAAATTTTAATTTAATGCTTAATTGCGCGTGTTAAAACAATTTGATCGAATTTATAAAATCTATTTCAGTCGAAGCACAAGGTGGTATCCGTAGATACTTTCGACATAAATGGCAATGGTGTACCGGAATTGATCACCGGCTGGAGTAGTGGAAAAATAGACGCAAGAACGTACAATACCGGCGAGGTGATATTCAAGATTCAGTTACCATCCAGCGTGGCGGGCATAGTGGAAGCTGATTATCGAAGAACGGGTAAACCTGATCTGGTGGTAGTTTCTACCAATGGCGAAGGTATATAAACTCGGAACTCGTTTTCTCTGCTAAATAGCTATCTAGACAACACAAATACTAAAACCCAGACATAAGTTTTTTAAAAATGTTTTTAAGTTTTTGAATTTTGGAGATTTTATATTGATTCTAGATATGATTTTTGCTGCGTGATAATCTTATATTTGCTCTCACGTTTTTTTGTAGTACGCGGATACAGTGCTGGCTCTGCCATGCAAGCTCCGGAACCCGGCGAGATAATTCGCGAGCTATTAGCTAAGAAGCAGGCACTCCAGATGGAATTGCGACAGAGGGCTGCGACGGGTTCCAGTATGTACTACGGATCGAGATTAGCTATCAGCCTGTTGACAAAGAGAGGCGCAGCCCGCGTCGCGCTTGCCGCCGGTCCCGGGCTTCTGGTAATTTGCACAGGCTATATCCCTGAATTTCCCTTCCACTACAGATTCCTTGATTTCTTCAATTCAAATCGATTTTTCCTCGGCAAAAATAGGATATCTCCGTACGATTAAAATCACGAGATTTTCATAAATGTAAAATAATATTTAGGTGTATTGCGCCATAGTCTTTGCCGAGGGCGTTTTTGAGGGTGAGACGCTGGTGACGCATCCCAATCGGCCGCAAGGGGAGTTAGAGATCGCGCTTTATCCTGCCAAGAATGATCCCGTGGATATTCATGTTAAAGTGTACGTTGGACCTCCTGCTACCGATCTGTTACAGGTATCCGATAATTGTAATTACGCAATGTAATCATATGAATTTTAACACATCATAACACACATTTCTAACATTCAATAGGTCTTCGAGATAACACGGCAGTTGCCAAGATTTTGTATGTACGAGCGCATCCCAAAACCGCAAGACGTCCCGGAAGAATTGTCGAGCAATGGCGTTGTGGCGGACGTGAGTGTTTAAACGTTGAATTTTGACAATTTCTGGAGGAGCTGAGAGGCTTAAAAATGAAACGAATGCTGCAATCCTGTAGGTCGCGGAGAGACCGCAGCGGATCGCCATCTGGCTGAACCAGAGTCTCATCATGGGGGAGGAACTGGAAGTCGCGGAGAGCGGCCCGTATGCCGGATGCATCGAAGTGTGGCTTCGTGGGATGCGAGACGATAAAGTGCACTGCTTCAAATCGAATGCCAACGGAAAAGTAATGATTCAGACGGACGATGCGACGTTGGCCGGCGACATTATACAGTCTCTCGCTATGTATTTAGGCGTTAGAGAACTGACCTCGGAAGCCACGTTTCCCGCGGAAGAAAAGAGGATGTTAGACGCGTTGGAGCGTGTCAAGGGTACGTTAAGAAAGAAGTGCCTAAAATACCTGATTTTCATCGGCAATCAGTTCTTCTCTGAGGAAAGACTTCGGTCCTTAGACAATATCGTGTCCAAAATTGGAACGTAAGATGTTTTTAATGTTTTCAAAACGTCTTTAAAACATATCGTTTAAGACGTTTAATCTGAAAACGTCTCTTTAGAATGCCTCATGTCCCGATTTTGGACATGTATGCTGTCTGGGATCCGTCCTTTCGAACTTTTCGAGCTTTTATTACTGTAAAAGATGTTTTGTAACGTCGAGATATTCTTCAGGCTTGAAGGAGGTCGATGCGCGGCTCCAAGCGGAAGCAGCAGGCGGTGCCACGCTTCTAAAGAGTATTGTGATTCGCTTAGAGGACGCTAGGATTCTCGAAAACATCGACGATATGCGAAAGAGACTAATGCAATTGAAAAACATCAACGGCGATTTAATCCGAGAGCACGAGATTCGGCTGAACAGTCATCGGGAGCTCGCGGCCAGCTTAAAGGAACTGAACATCGGAGTGCAGCGTGCAGCGAGACTCAGAGGTAATTATCGCGTCGGCCCTTATCGCAGGACTCTATTGCTCTTTCTATTTCGTTGCTAAATCGTATTCATTATTGCAGTTGGGAAAGCTGCCTCCAACGCAGTGGCTCGTTGCAGAACGGCGATGCAGGATGAAAATCCGAAAGCTCTTGCACTCGCGATAAAACACGGCTAAATTAATGTATGTATTCTACTTTCTTACAATACAATTTTCGATTTTGCAATTATATGTCATGATCCCCTTTGTAATAATATCCCAAGATAATGCCGGCATTATCTCTGTATTATAGACAAAAGATAAAAGTTCGAAATATTGCCGCGTGAATTCGTACACGCAAATAGTTTTTCTTACAAATACAGATTTATTAAAACAATTAAAATATAATCTTTTTATACATTACGCGCGCGCTCTCTCTCTCTTTCTCGATGTTTAGTAGAATAAAATTATTTAGTCTCGAGACTAATCTCTAACGATTACAATAAATTCCCGCGAGCCGAGATGCTGAATCTTCTTCTCAATGGAGGAGGCGACGGTCGACGAAGAGTGTTTACAGTTCCATCTGTTGAAGCTCTCAGTCTGAAAGACGTCTGGTGACTGCTGTGCAATTCGGTCAGCAATCTTAATATGTTCATGAATACGGCCGTGACCTGTCGAATGAAAATAATCGCAAATTGTCATGGCCGTCGTTACATAAAGATATTATCATTTAAGAGAGAAATATTCTTTTAACGCCATGAACGTTATCACTCTCACGTTTCTATTTTTCTTTTTGCCCTATGTTGCGTGCTCATGACATATGTAAAATTAATTGCTACATATCTCACATTCGACAGTTTTTTAAGTATTTTTTTTCATACGCAAATAAAATTATAGACAACGCTAATTCTATTGCTACATCCTTATCATATTTCTACTGCTATATCCTTATCATATTTCTTTGCACACTTGCAACACTTTTATGTATTAAATAAGCGTACTCTGATCATTGCTTGAAGTAATTCTTTTGTAATTTTACTAACAAATATAGTATAAATTTCTATTAATTTAGTAATAATTATTATATGTTTTCTTATTAATTTAATAATAAAATAATTATTAAATTAATGGAAATTCATACTATATTTTATCAAAATTACAAAAGAATTAATTCAAGCGATACTTCGTTATATTTATAAAAATATCAGAACTCATTAACTTCTTGATTTCATACATAATGATTTTCATTATTGAATTCCAAATTAAACTTTATAAATCCATGATAAAACAAGAGAAAACAATGGTTAAAAACAATCTTGTTTTTTAATTGTTTTCAAAAGCCTTACTTATATTAATCATTTTTATCGCTTCGACATTTGGTACTGAAATGCGTCGATTCTCTGGCGCGATCGTCATTACAATGTGTAGATAAAAAGCAGCTAAAATGCTGTTATTCGTTCGTATCGCGTGTCTTGAGAAGTGAGCGATATAGATTTGTTTATGGTCCCGCGATCACGCGCAAACGCCATGACACGCGGGGTAAACAATCGTTTAGAATAATAATCTCCGTTATGATTAGCTGATAGGGTTAACTGCATATGAACGTATTTATCGGGTATTCTTTGTATTCATTTATAGCCTATCGGGTTTTTTTTCGGAGCACCAAAAACTTAAAATCAGTCCTATTTTTAAATAATCAAAGCGAATGATATGATACCACAATCTATGCATCCGACTATTATTACCTCGACCGGAGTGAGTAACCGAAATAAGTGCGAGGGCATCAGTATTTTCTATTTTTCTCTCTTCTTTATCTTTCTCTCTCTTTCTAATTTATCTTTTACACTATGTCGAGTCGATCAAATAATGATTAACATGATCGATTACCTGATCAACTGATTCCCTTACGGAAATTTCGTGGAAAGCGTGAGCCTCGATTTCTTTTGCCCTTTTCTGGCCTTCCAGGGCAGATACCATGCGCTCACCTGGCGAGCAGGAGAGATCGGCCTTGTTTCCCACAAGCAACACGACCGGTGGCACCTTTCTGCCTTTTCTCGCGTGCGATACCAAAAACCTGAAAGTCACGACGTGATGTATACACTATACACGCGCGCGTTCGAACGAATTCAAACATCGTAGAGTGCAATTTTTTTTTTTTTTTTTTTTTTTTAATAAAATATGAAAGAAGGAAAAGCGACGTGTGTATATGTACCTCAGACGAGAAGTTTCGTCGAAGCTGACTCGATCCGTTACTGAATAAACGAGAACTATCGCGTCGGCCCATCGCAATTTCGGCTCGGCCGAGGCGGGCGGATATCCGGGAGGATCCGCTATTTCCCACGAGGATCCAAGATGATTGTCGACTCGGTAGATTCTGTCCGTGGTGCAATCGTATTCGCCTATGAAGCGTTTCGTGGCGAAACGCACGGCTAAAGCTAATTACAAAAATCCAAGAAAAAAATTAGATATATAACGTTAGAAATATATTAACTTTTACATGATGCACAATTATAGTGAGTAAAAAAAATGTGCGCAGCTTTTTCTATCCACATAATTGTTCATATTATTCGCGTGTTGTTTGGAGTGAGATTCACTTCAAAAGATTGAAAAGATTCACTCTAGAAAATTTAGAGAGTATAGATTTTACGTTATTCATTGAAGAAACTGTCATTGATCACTTACCCGATTTGCCAACGCCTGGTTGGCCCAGTAAGATTACTTTGACCATCTTGAAAGAGTCTCTGTGGCCGAGGCCCCAGCTGATCGGAGGACTCTTCTTGACGGGCACTAACGGCGGACCATCACCATCCATGTCTTTATCGCCACTGATCTCTACGCACGGTGTCCCATCGATTATGAACCCCTTCGTGTGATCCGGTGATATTTAATGGATGCATTATTCATAGCAAATCTGTCGTGCGCTCCTTGAAGGGTGGGCACTGGGCGCGCAATAAACAATACTCGGGCGACGTCACTCTAACTGCGTCATTAACTATTATTAGAATAACATATTGCGTAGGGTCTACGCGTATAAGTTGCAAAAAAAAAAAAAGAAAATCAACGTGATGCCGGCGATCAACGTCATAAAACTCTGTCCCCTCAGGCGCTTCCGATTTCAAGAAAATAAATATCCGGGATCGCGTAGCCAGCTGATCGCGGAGGTAATTGTTGACGCATCGTATTTGGCGCGCACGTGCCGTCCCGCTACGACGCAACGAGGCGGCGGTTGTTGTTGTTGTTGTTGTTAATTTTACATAAGAACTTGAACGGGGGCCTCCCCCCCCCTTGACGTGACTTTTATCACTTTGTATTATACGTCTCGGCTTTCACGCCGCGTTTCTTCTTCCGCAGACACGGCGCCGGCTGGCCGGCTGGTCGCCGGCTCGTCGCCTTCGTTGCATCGCGTCGCGAGCCGCATCGCAGTTCGATGCACTTGCTCGTACACTCGGCTCGTCCGTGAGCGTCGCATATATTGCGACTAATTGTTTACGACCGTATTCAGCACCGCATTGCATTAAATACGATATTGTCTCCTTGTCTCCCTTTCTTTTCAGTCGCGCGTCCCGCGCGTTCTCCCGTCCGCGGAGGAGCGGATTGGAGCTATATTCGCGTCATTCGCGTCTCGACGGCACAAAACGCTATCTTGTCCATCAGGTATCGCCGATGGGTGTTGCACATCTCGACGCGCCCACGGCTGTTGGCACAGAACGCGCCATCGTTTTTTATTTTTTATTTTTAGCTTTAAATGAGGAACGATGTATTAAGGAGGCTATATTTAGATTGTGCACCTGTGGTCCATCGATACCCTTGGTCAAGGAAACGAAAAAGGCTACGAAGGGGGTTGGCATGCAGGACCTAATGAATCGCTGAGTTGTTTAAGTTATTGCTGACATGACAAGAGGCTTGTAGGAAATCTTTTGTTTTTGGGGCGATATTTTTATCGTTACAAGAGTCTCGTAGGAAATTTATATATCTTTTACGTATATTTTTTTTTATCGAACTGCAGGATGCTTCAGAATAATTCGCATAATTATGAATTTTTTACTTCACCCGTTTCTGGCAACTTTTTTTTATAAATCTCGCGATATACGACGTATTCTCCTGTAAGTCACATTGGCGAGCGATAGCGTGCTATAATTAATGGAATATGCGCGTTATTTCTCTTTAAGGCTACTTAACCCTTGCAATTTCAAGCCGCGTTAAGTTTCATCGATTATTATCATATAGGTGAGAATAAGGTCAGGATTTCTAAGAAACGCTGTGCATAAAAGTCAATTTCTCACATCAAAATACATAATCTATTAATGTCCACTCCATGTATGCGCGCGCGCATAATCTTTTCTCTCTCTCTCTTTCTCTCGTTTTCATTTATTCTGCATCAGTAGTTTTTTTACATTTTATTCGCGTATACTTTCGAAAGACTGCTAGCGGATAGCGTCAACGAACTTAAAATGGGATAATTTTATCAGGAAATTGTATTCTGCGCCCAGAAATAAAAATAGGTCTCGCCGTGATAAGTTTCCCTCGATATCTCGTCGAGTTCATACAAAAATAGAACTACATTTCTATTGGTCGATAAATCGAGAAAAAGCTATTTAAGCAATTGGATAAAACCGGATTATTAGGATAAAACCGGTCGATTGCATTGTCCGGGGAACCGAAATTATTTGCTTGGTTCAATTTTTTTTGAACTGTATGACTTCTCTTTTCGGATACAATTATAGTTCCTAAAATTATGGACAGGGCTATTTCAAGGATTGTTCATTTGAAATAATTGAGAAATCGTGCAGGGTGTAGTTGAAAAAATAATATTTTAAAATAAGCTGAAAAAAAAACGACGTTTGTAGTTTAACACGATTATTTTAAGACCTCCCATTACTTGTCACTTTATCAACTCGTAGGCGGACGTTGTTGGATCATCAGGTTGTCATTTAATTTTCCTGACATGCACATTTTTATTTTTACTTTTATTGTCATTCACCTGTGAAGTTAAAAAATCTCGCCTATGATTTTGTGTTAAACACCGTACTGACTTTACATTGTGCTCTATCTGAAAGATCCAACATGTTCGCCCTCTCGGAATTACTTCGACAATTGCTCATAATTTATGCCTGGTAGTATCCGGTTCAAGAATAGTCTAAATATAGACTTGATCAGGCCGCCGCGCCGACGTAAATAGGAGAAAAGCGTGCCGCCCGCACGTTGATCTCCTGTGAGTTTTACAAGGGTTATCGGCTGGGTTGAGTTCTTATCGGGGTTATCGGTAAAAAATTATCCCCAAATCCATTCATTCCAAAAAGCCTAACGCGAGTCAAACCGCCGTCGCGTCGCCCAAAAGATATACGGGGAAAAAAAGGTTAGGGAGGTGTCCCGAAGAAGATCGAGACGTGTTACATACGCGGATAAGATAATATCGAATCCTTAGAGTGAAAAAAAGGAAAAGAGAACGAAGGGTGGAAAGGTCGTTAATTTTCGCTTTTCTTTTTCTCCCATGTCGTAACGGACATCGCCGCGGGTATGCGGCCTGTGCACGAAGATCGACGGACGGATACCAAGCTCCCGACGCGTGAATTCGCGTGAAGCACGCGAGAGTGTGTCCCCGGCTACGAGGGCACGTATGCCTCGACGAAGTTATCAAAAAGATTCGCAGATCGTATTCGCGGCGACAAAAGAAGTTGCAACTGCCGAGAACTTATAGTCTTTTTCATTGCGATAAAGCACTTATAACGGAAGATGAGGAGAGGGTATTTCCATGGGAGTCGGGAATGAAAGGTGTTCTAAAGATCTTCATTGAACTATACCTTGGACTAAATGCGAGTAACACAATTACCCGCGGACACGGAGATCGGTGGTAGGCGGTGCTCCATGGAAGACGAACAAGCGACGAGGCTGATAAAGAAGTCGATGGCTGCTCGCTAAATTTGGCACAAGCAGCTGATATACTGATGCACTGTACGATACGAGCTAATGACGAGAGTCAAAATACCGCGACGTACCTTCTCTTCTCCTCCCTCTCCCATCGCGGGGCATTAATGAACGCGACCTCTGGCCCTCGAGCCAGATGCGTCCGCTTTTTCGATACTCCACCCGGAGACGCGACAGGATCTGTTGCCCGCGCCTTCTGAAAAGCCATACTTGCTTTATAGGTCTGCTTTGACGAGATGTAAAGTTTGCTTTATGGCGCGGTTTATAGCGACGGAGGTTCTGTCTCAGGCAATGAAAAATGTTTTATGTCTCATCCACGTCGCGCCGTGACGAGCTGCATCTTGGCTCTAATCCGTCGAATCCGGGTTGTGTCACCCTCCGTGCAATAAAGGCTGCGTCTTTCGCGCGAGGAAGATGTGGAGAGCAGAAGTGGGAGGCACGGGAAAATCTAATTACAGTTCTAATCCTTCGAATGGTGAAACGTATCTAATATTAGATAAATATCCGAGACACGCGCAATTAACAGCGACATTTTACAGTCATTCCAAGAAAACGATATTTTCACAGCTCATATAATAGTCATTTGAGAATTTTTCGCGAGAGATCCGAGCCTTTGTGTTTATTGTCGACACGTGTACACGTTAAATCATCAGTTTGATATATTTAATTTTTCTGACATTGGCCTTTTAATTTTTATCTATCAAATTAATATAATTAGTTTCGACACTCTTCCTGTTTACTCACGAGAGCTGTTTTGGCGGAAATGTGAAACGCTGTCGTCTTTTCTAATCAGTATTTTTATAACGCGTGCATACACACACATATACACATACTTCGGTTTAGCGCAGAGTTAATGACTTTCCATATGGATCGCTGATCGAGCCGCAAATGTTTAAAAATGTAAACTATATTTTACATCATTTCTTAGAATATACGCTCCTCTGTGACCTGACACAATTTTTTCCGTTATAAAAAGATCATTGACGGCTGCATTACGAGCAAATCTATCCGAGTGGTAGCCAGGCCTCGGTTTCTATTAATACTACCAGTTTACTGAAAAAAAGCAACGATTTGATCGAGAATACTCGCCATAATAATGATTCCAATCCTAATTATAAATTAAAGATAAGAAAGATCGGGGCTATAATTGCGTTTAATTACGAAATGGGATGTTCAATTATGGGCGATGATATTACGTAGCTTGTATCAGTTTTTCGCACATTACAATCGCGGCGTTTAATTAATTCCCGCAGAGAGTTAGAGGAGCCGTTAATGAATATTTTTAAAATAATATATGGCGTTCGCGTACCACGTGCCGATACCTTTTCGTTTTATCTTTTGTTTCGCGACAAGTCCGGGTATTAACGAGCGCATACTTGAGCTACTGCTGGCGCCAATGATAAGAAAAAAAAAAGAAATGCAGAAAAAAATTCTGTTGCTTCCTCTCGATTGTACGACAGCCGGGCACTGAACTTGGACCCTACAGCGTAAACGAACGAAACAACAGTCTGCTCTCACACGAACGGCGCGCGGTGCCATTCTTAATTAATCAATACCAGAAAGGAATTTTCCGAGAATGTTATCACTTATCCTGCCGACGTTCTAAATCGATAAGGAAAAAAAACTTGGTACATGTTTACTAAGCACGTGTCGTTGTCATTAGCTGTTGACTATAGATAACGCTATAAACAACTATGGCGGATATGTTGGCGCCATGCGCTATGAAGAAACAGAATAATTCCACAATACCGCAGTGAAAGTTTCGCAAATTTATGTCAACAGCGTCCAATCTTCTTAAAGAAGAGCTAAGTCTCACTAAATACTGATCAATGATTAAAACTTTGCGAATTACTATTATATATTTCGTCGTTTTTCAATAACTTTTCAATAATCGTTCTTTTGTGTAAAAAATATTATGTAATTTATTTACCCAAAGATGTTTTTCGAATTATCGTCCGAGTTCTCGTGTCGAGAATCGGGAGACTTTTTTGGAGCTTCGGATGTTATCTCAAAAATGAAAATAAATGTCGTCGAAAATGAAAAAAATTATCGCCGAAAAAAAATTGTCTCGAATGTTACGTTTTCACTATGAATTTTATAAATCGTAACGGGACCGCGGCGGTTACCGCAACGGTCGTATGTATCAACTACAGTAATTATGTCATTTCTCGCGTACGATGCTCTCGATTTGCGCAACGCGCGTCTTCGCGCGGAGCGTCAACAAAACACGCAAAAATGACGACGCCATAAAATCAGCGTGAGAACTGGCGACTTTCGCGGTGGCGATTTGCGAGACGGGACCAAGTACCGAGAATCACATCCAGTGTACAGTAAAATCCATTAGCGGTCGTTACAAAGATAAATGGGATCTCGGGTTGTTTCGCACGCGCGGGACTTGACAAGAGAACAAGATTGCCATACTTTTTCTTCTTATTAATCCTTAACCCTTGATCGCCCCGGGGTGTGCTAAAAGTCGCGTTATCTCTCTCTCTCTCTTTCTCTCTTTGGGACAGCTTAGAAACTATAAGCTATACTTGTCTCGTGAGAGATAATATTGATTCTCGAGTTAGATATATGTGCTCTTTGCTCATCGCTTTAAGCGAGTTAGTTCAGCTAAAATAATTAATACAACTCTTTATTATATAACACATTATATCGATTCTATATAAAATTTGTGGCCGTTGTAATATGTGTTAGAACAATTTCGTCAAATGTGATAAGTTATTAAGATCTTTTCTAGTTTAGTACATACATTGAGAGAAAAATGTTTGATATTTATGACTATAATTGCATGATAAAATAATTATGGTTAGCTTCACTTTTATAATTATTACTGCTGTAATATATTAGTAATAATAATTATAATTATATTTATATTACATCTACCAAACAAATATATAGTTCACATAAAAAATGACTATATACATACATTGTAGTTAAATTAAATTATTAATTTTTTCAAACATTTTTTCTCTCAGTGTGTATACGTGAAAAGTTTCTACACAAAATTTCTTTCTTGTTTTAAGAATAAATAATGGTTTATTTATTAATGAAATTAGGAATAGGGTGGTGCTGGGTGCAATCTCCGCGATCTTAATTTCATATCGATCAAGTTGATGCGGAAGAAGAGAGTGCCTCTCCGTCCTCGTAGATAAAGATCAGCGATGCAGCGAGTAATTGGAAGATAGACGTAACCGATTGAATCATCTGTGCGATAAGTGTCATTGCTTCAAATGTAACCGCTCGTTTCTTACCGTTCGTTGATTCACTCGTTGCGGCAGCATCTCGACTGCTCTCGAATGTAGTACATTGGCTTTGCCGATGTAATCAGTCAATTATCTCGAAAACTCATGCTAGACGAGAGACCGTTGCGACAATAAGACATAAGAAATAATATTTTCCACACAATGTCCGGAATGTCCCCAATATATGATTAGACGCTGTTTACGGGAGAGTCACGCGCTCTCATTGGCACACAACTCCATATGTATGCCAATTTATCAAATTTGTCCTTTAGAGGAGAGTTCACAAATTTCAACAAGTTTATCCACGACAAGAATTACTAAAGAGAGAAAAAAAATTAACGAAAATAAGCACGATAAATCGTTGGTGTCAAGCCAATAAATTTTGATTTATACTAAAATTGAACATTTGCCCTCTAGATAATTAATCTTACTGTGTCCTTATCAATAGTGCGCGATACACTCCCCCGCGAATGGATCGCCGCCGCCGTCGCGACGGTCGCCGAAAGCGGCAGCGGCGGCGGCGGCGGCGGCGGCGGCTATGTCAAAGTACAGGCCATCACGTTCGCGTACGTGATAGCCTCTAGCTGCTCTAGCAAATCGGACCTAGATTCGGTCCAGCTGCACGGCCGAGTTTCTCGCACCTCGCGGAAGAAAAATCGGCGGGAAAACAGCGCGATAGGGGATCGCTGCGCGGATGATCGACGTATACCGCCCGTTATGTGTGCCGCGCGGCTCGCGGTCGAACTTAACCCCGTTTATAACGCTCGTATATTAGCGCTCAATCCATATAATCGCTTATTATCGGCGGGAAGCCTAAATCTAAGCAACGTCAGCGATTTTTCGCCGACGTAGGCGCTCGCCGGCATCCTCGTGTTGCTCGTCGCGTGTCTGTCGTCGGCGTCGTCGCTCTCGCACCGCGACCTCCTTCCTCACCCTCCCTCTCCCCCCCCTCCCCGCCTTCGAGAGAAGCGCATCGGCGAGAAGTGCTTTACCGTGAAACCGTCGCGTCAAAATTTAACTACTGCCTTTATACGTGATCCTATCTTTTGATCCGCAATTAGCTGCAGAAGGACGTACATTACGTGAGGATAGAAAATAGCCTTTGCTATTTTCAATCTTTTGCTTTCGCGCGCCGCGCGCGATTGCGGCGAATTTTACCGCGCGCCGCTCGCGCCTTCCCTTCCGGACGGATCACGCTCTTCGAGGAAAATACGATCATCATCGGTTAGACGAAAACTGATCCTTTCCAGATGGAGTTCTCGCCTCCAAGTGGAAGTCGGTCGACGACGGTTTTCCTCGAATTTCGAGATTGCTATATATATATAATAGAATCGAAAACGAATGTGAGCCGATTCGCTCGGCTACCGGAGTGTCAAACTTTCCGCCCGCCTTCCTGTATTGCGAATATTCCATGTAACATTGTTAAGATTATCATAGAAAATAAAAGAGTCGGTCACAACGTGGTTGTTCCTCCCGGTATTTTCTCGTTTTCGCAGAAAATATCGCGCAGGATTGATGGAGATGCCACATCGTGTGCCCCGATAAAGCGCGAACAGAAGAAAAGCTTCGATATATATTCTATATTGTTGCCGTATTGTTGCTCGTAACGATATCTCGTTGTTAATAATAGACGACTGATGCCCGCGTCCATAACACGCTTATTTTCCATTGATTACTTATCGAATCTGTTTCTCTTTCGGTTGACGGCGCCGGCCGGGAAACTCTCGGCATTTTCATCCCTCACCCGACATAATAATCGCGGCGTGGCGCGCTAATTAGCGTTTTAAGACCGTGTGTGTCATCCTCCTTTAATTAATTAAAGTTTTTTTCCTCTGAACTACTTAATTAATTGGCGCTTACGTGTCATGTCTGGAGATATATATATATATATACTCGCTTTCCGACGCACGTAAACATTTCTGCCTCTCCATGTGCTCGACTTCGCGAATTGTAAACAAAAGCTTACACTGCAAAAATTACGAGGAGGTTTCAGCAATAATAAACAATTTGAAAATTGTTGATCTTTCAATTCGTCGAATAAATCTGGGTACATTTTACTTGTTTGTTGCTAATAATCGATATTAATAATAATCGATCTCTTTTTACAAAACTTTACGAGTTCTTATAGTTACACAAACCTGAGAGATTAACGTAACACGTCACTGAAATTTCATTATCGTGATTCTAATTGTAAGAGAGAAAAAATTAATTGCAATTACTATAATATATAGTTGTGGTAACTATATAATGATAACTATAATGCATAGTTATTTTCAGTGCCAACTGTATGTTTATTTGATAGACCTATAAAATATAATAATAATAATTATTATTAATATATTAGTAATAATTATAAAAATGAAGCTCCTAACCATTTTTATTTTATCATGTTATTATAGTGACAAATACCAAACACTTTTCTCTCAGTGTTGGTTGTCGCCGCAGCGGATAAATTAATTATTCGTTTTCCTTTTCTTCATCGACCGTATCATTACCCCTTTTGACTCTCGATTCACATGCGCCGATAATTCGCTTTTAAAAATATTTGTGTGTAGCTACATATGCATTCTGGGTGCGAAGTGCAATTTGTGTTTCTCAGTCTCAGCAACTCGACGGTCACTATTGCGGGGAAATTTCCATTTTTGCGCAGTTAACTAATATTGCATATAGCGATAATAGTGCATCTCCGAGTTGAAATGGATCTGCGAAGAGGTAGGCCAAATCCCAGTGCAGAAAATGCGAATGTTTTTCGCATTTGCACGGCGCGCGCATTTGACGGAGGCCGCGATAGAGAGCGATCACGGAGTTTGCGAGTGATGCGATAATTGCAATTTGACGTTACCAGGAACGTCAGGTTTCTGTAATCGCGGGTTATTTTTGGATCGTTGTAGCTTGAGTTGCGCGGGCGCGCGCGCGCGAGTGAGAGCCGGATGGCACAAACATTATACTTTTCGTGTAATTTCGTGAAACCGCTTATCGCTCTTTTCCGCTCTTTTTTTTTTATCGTTAAAGGTGTAAAAACATTGACGTGTTCACCGATATTCGGAAAATAATATTGGCGGAAAAAATGCGACGTTCGGAAAGTGCGAATAATCTACATATTTACAAAAAAATGTGAACTTTTGGAAATATCTAATATTCCAATTTATTATCATTGACCTGATATCGATATTATTGTTTGATATAACTGTGTATTATTTGAACTCTTATATTTATCTGTCTAGTCGATTTTATCAATTAATGATATCGCTGTTGATAGAAGAGTGACAAAATTAAGTAAAATAAAATTATCATTTTTGAGATAATGAAAAGTAATCGACTTAAAAATCTTTAGAATCGATTTCCTTTCTTAGTAAATAAAAATTTATTCGTATATTTAGTCGTACGTCATCAATTCTGAGTTGATTTTCAGGTGCAAAAAAAAAATTCTTTTCAGAATTTCTAGAAAAAAAATTCGTGTTGCATCTGGAAATTAACTCAGAATTCATGACGTACAACTGAATTCTTCTTGAACTCTCTGTGCTATCTGGGGTCATTATCTCAAGCACAAATAAAAAAATTAGCACCTTTAAGATAATGAAAGGAAAGTGACTTTAATTTTTTTAAGGACCAATATCCTTTCATTATCTCAAGTGATACAAGTAAAAAAAAATTAAGATAATGAAAGGAAATCGATTTAAAAAATGTTAGAGTCAATTTCTTTTTACCTCAAAAATTTTAATCTTTT